GCGCCGCTTCCTTACAGAAACCAAAGGGAAGAGGCAATCTCGGAACTAATATCAAGGAGACATTTTCCGACTTTTGTTCATAACAAGTTGATTTTTCCGTCCAACATGTTGTTCGAAGACTGGCCCAAATGCCGCGCGTGCTAGGCCATGACCGTTTTGTCCCGCCTGGTTCTGTTCTCGATTGCTGGAAATCCCAGACTGGGGAGAAAACTTAACAAGCTCGCCGAGAATTGTCGACACTCAACCAGAACTGTGGATGCATACACCCGAGCTACTTATATTCAAGTTCGGCTCAACCTCTCCCCTTCACTGATGTTGATGAGTTCAAGGCTGTGGCCCTTTGTGTCTGCCTGCTATCTAGTTCGTCTGCTCGTCGGTGTACTTGTCTACTGTACCTGTGTTTAACCTATCTGACTCGTTGTTCTCGCACGTTTTGGCTGGATGGTCATGTGTACTGTATGGTTGAGAAGGTGTATATTGATGTCCTGGAGTCGGTGAACCTGCTCATGTCCTCTAACGGAGCGGTATTGCGAAATGACGTCAGCGGCAAGGTGATCATGAAGACTCTTCTATCCGGTACGTGATCGCTATCGCTGTCCCTGGCATTGCGCAAGATTCAGAATGAATTCGATGCCCTGGGACGCCTAAATCTAGCATCCGACCAGTGCGAGGGATTGTTTCCAACGCTCAACAACGACGGCGACGAGAACAAACTACGCCGAGGACGTTGTCAAGCGATTATTGCCTGACCCGTAGCAACATCGCAATATCTCGGGTTTGTGCTGGTCTGGATTCGAACACCAGCGCGTCGCTTGGCAATCTGTACAATGATGTCCGACACCGGGTTAGCTGAGTTGCGGTACGGTACGGGTCTGGGAGGTTCTGGGTAGAGATCAGCACCCTTTGCGGCGGCAAGGCACGACCACCAACAACCACCACAGCAACAGCAACAATGGCATCACCACCAACAACAACAATAATAACACCCACAGGGATGCCCGACTGCAAGTTCGGCCTGAACGACAAGCTCATCATGGAGCGTGACGCGAATGCGAGAGGGAGGCAGGACCGTCGGCCAGCGGTTGCCCTCGATGACTGCACCTTCCACCGCTGCGTACGGCTGGGCAAGTTCGACGCTGATCGGACCATCACCTTCATCCCGCCCGAGGGCGAGTTCGAGCTCATGCGGTGAGTTACTGCTGTAGTTGTTCGTGGTGGCACGGTAGTGGTAGTGGCGGTGTAGATGTTCGGGGGGGCGGGGGGCGGGGCAGATATACACGGGGGTGCTGCTGCTACCTCTGCGCAAGGTGTGCCGGTATATGTAGAGTAGCGTGGTAATCTTGGTGTGTTGGGGCAAAATTCTGCGTTAGGTCACGGGTGCAGGGGCTGAATCTCTCGTGCTTTGAACAAGCCATTTACCCAAGGCCGGAAGCACAGCTTCTGAAGCCTCTCTCGTAACGTGGAAGATCGAGGATTGATGAACGGTCACGTTGTGGAGGGGCAAAAGCGCCATTTCATACATACGCCCGCGTTGATTGTTTAGCCCGCTATGTCGATACTGTAGCTGTGTGGTGCAGTCAAGTCGGCCGAGTTTCCGTTCCCGCCGTCTTCTCGTCTTGTAGAATTGCGGTTTCTCATCCTACATACCAGCGAATGACCGAGAGTGATGCCTGATTCTCCTTTTTTTTTTTAACGGGCAGATACCGCGTCGCAGACAACGTGAATCTTCCTCTTCGGATAATACCTGCGGTGCAGGAGGAGGGGAGGGGTCGCGTCACCATTAACCTCAAGGTATCTGCGGACTTCAGCTACAAGCTCTTCGGCAGCAACATTGTGGTGAAGGTATGAATATGTATGTACATGCGCGGGAGCTCCGCGAGTGAGATGCGGCGTAATCTAGGGAGCACCCTGGTGGTCGAGAGGAATGTAGGGTTAGAAGCTTCTGGGAGACCGCTTGCATGCCGGAGAACGGTAAGTGCGTGGTGAGCGGCGTCTGTGTAGCAGCACAATTGGTTGCCGTGAAAAAATTGGTCGGTGATACTGCTGTGGGAGCAGCGTGAGTGACCCACGTACACTACGCACCACACGCTGTGGTAGCTGGTACCCCCATAGTACACAATATAGCACACGTACTGTGTGTTGCTGCTGTAGTCGAATGTAGTGTGTGGACGGGTAGATCAGTTTTTGGGCACGCAAACGTGCTGCAGGGATGTAGGTGTACCCTTTTCTTGCTAGTTTGCGTGTTCTTTGGATCTTCTGATGGCTCTAGCATTTTTGTGACCACGGACCGCGTCTTTGCTAGATTTTGGGATTAGCAACTGACACGAGTTTAATGTGAAGACAAAAACAAAAACAACAACAACAGCAACTGTATACGCCTGAAACACACTACTGTAGAACGACGACAGCCACATACGGAAGTTTCCGCCAGGCACCATCGAGCGAAGTCAACCCCTAGAATACCATGCCTCTCTGTGTCGATTTGGCAGCAGAAAACTTGTCTCCATGCGGCCTTTAACCCCCTACCCCCGCTACCGCCGCTGCACCCCCGCCGCCGCCGCCGCCGCCGCCCTCCCCTCTGTCCCCAGGTGCCAGTGCCTCCGAACACGGCGCGATGCCTCATCCACGTGGGGTCGGGCAGGGCTAAGTACGAGCCGGAGCAGCGGGCTATCGTGTGGCGGATCAAGCGCATGATCGGTGGTGCTGAGGCGGTGTTTACGGCCGACGTGGAGCTGACCCCTAGCATCCGGGGGAAGGCGTGGTCACGGCCTCCCATACAGGTGGGTGTGTTGGAGGGTCCCTGGAAAAGTAGACGCACGGAAGGAATGGGGTCATGCCGGAAGATGCTGATTGGCATGGGTGGAGAGGAAAATATTGACCGGCTTGCGTACCAGAAGGCCGACCCTAGCTCTTGTTGTTTGACCTCGGCATGCCTCCGTCCACGGACCCCCATCACGAGAAATGAATTTTATGAAGTATGAGTAAGTAGAACGGGGAGGGGGTAGGTACCCAGACCCCTGTCCCTAACCCAGGTTAACCGATTGCATCCTTCGTCCATTAGACTATATTTGCTTCGACGAAAAAAACTGCGAAGGCTGCTGCCGTCCATGTTGGTCGGGTTCGACAAAAGGTGCGGTTCGACAAGGTGCGTGCTACGAGGCTGTTTTGTTTGTGGTGCACCCCCCACCTCGACGCGTTTCTTCTTCGAAGCCAATCTCCCCCCTTCTGCGTCCGGCTCCGCCGGTAGCAAAGTACAGCCGTGTTGTTTGCGTTCTGGCGCACACGGCATCAAAGCACAGCACGTCCAGCACACGTGGGCGTGGGAAAACCTACTCCTATGCTTTCATCATGGTTCTTGACCGGGATCCTTGCTTGCTTAACTTTTCACATGTTATTCTCTCCCCCCTGTCCTACCCTGACGTTTGGGCTTGGTCTCGTCTTGCTTGGCATCTCGTACTGCGCGATACGATATGAATGCTACAGGCGGAGTTCCAGGTGCCGATGTTCACGTCGTCTGGGGTACAGGTCCGCTTCCTCAAGGTTTACGATAAGAGCGGTTACCTCACCAAGCGATGGGTCCGGTACATCACACGCGCAGGCCACTACCAGATCCGTATCTGATCCCCGCCGCCGAGATCTGGCGAGTTTGGTCGTTTGAGCTCTGCTGCCCCCCTTCTCTCTTGAAGGCACTCTCGTGTTGAGACTGCTGTTTGGCAGCTCCTGGGCTTCCCGTCAGAAACCGGGGTGTGCGTGTGTGTGTGTGTAGGGCGTTTCGCCCGACCCGTTGTACCAGTTGTTGTCTACTGCTTAAGTGGTGTGCCCCCATGTGGCGGGTGTGCACACCTCGCTGTTTCAAGCCTTGCGGTCCATCTGTGGGTGCCTTCTATGGTTCCGCGTGTTTTTTTTTATTTCGGGGACACAGGAGCCACAACGACGTAGCAGGTACTCGCTGTGCAGGTTTGTTCGGCGGCAGGTTGCGCTGACATCAGCCCGGGAGAGGAGCAGGGAAACGAGGCCACACCACCTGTAGCGAAAGCACTCATTGTTTTTGACTTGTTGGAGCTTGTGTTAAGCTTGCTGTCGTTCCATGTGCAGAAGTTCTCTCTTGTCCGCGGCTAGACCAACATAACCTCTGCAGGAATCGGACAGTTGGAGCTTTTCAGGACCAACTTGTAGGGAGCGAGAGGGGAGCCACAAGCCGCGGCGGTATTTGCTGTAGTCCCGGCCTGTAACTCATGCTGTACACAAGACGAGATATATATGTAGTCCATATCCTGAAGAGAATAGCGTTATGGGACAGCATGTGTTCTACGTAGCCCGTTGTGGCCATCAACGTGCGATCCGAAAGGGAAGCTGATTTGGATCCCCCCCCCGCCCCTGACAAGAGGCATGCATTCGGAAAAGTACATGCACGTTCGGTATTGGGGTGCGGTACTGCTGTAGCCTTGGCTTCTATCACACATACATGGTTTCTTCCATCTTTCAAGTCAACCCGCCGAAAGGTACGCATTCATTGATTGGCGTTACAGAGCGCCGGACATATGAAACAAGGCACGCTACGTTCTCTCTTCTTCGATTCGATAGTCTACAGCAGTACTACACTGCTGTAGTGGGCCCTCTAAGACCGGGATTGTACCATAGACCGATTCACCCGCCCTGCAGCGGGCACTCACTCGAAGATGTACCTAAGATGTACGTACAATGCACTCGTATTTTCGTATTTTCTTCCCTACTTTTTTTTGTTCTTGTAGATCCATCGCCCTCTCTCGAGTCTTGCTACCCGGCGCGATTCTCCCAAAAAACACGGCAATAAAAAAGCAGATAAGGTGTAAATTACACCCGACCCGCAGTACTGTAAGTATACCTCGAGGAACCAGACACCGAAACAGAAGAATCCCCCAGCCACTACAACTACAACCTGGGGGAGGACACATACATGTATTTGCAGGCTACCCCGGTATTATCGAACAAGAAAAGACGCTGCTTGCAAGTTTGCGGCCGACGAATTATTTGTCAGCAGAGTGCCTAATCCTGGGGCGAGATACATTTGCTACAGCGTTACCGATCGATGGGGTTCCGAGGGACTCGCCCGCTACTACAACAAACTACACGCTGCTAGATTTTGGGATTAGCAACTGACACGAGTTTAATGTGAAGAAAAACAACAACAACACGCTGGTGTGTGGAGTCCTCTGAGTCCGAAAGTAATGTTGCGCTGCAATCACGAACCATTCGATTCTCGCAGGCTGGGTCCGATTGAGACCTAGTACGTAGACCTTCGCTCTCTGCGCTCCCTTCTCGCTCATCGTGCAGGATTTGCCCAATGACCAGACAAGGCCTTGCTAGAATAGGAGAGGCGATTCACGACGTCCGGGAATCCAACTAATGTAACTCTTCTTGGTCCAAAAGATGCATGCCTCACCGCATAAATCGGCACTAACCGGTGCACTACTGCAGCAGCAGCAGCAGCAGCAAATGACCACCCAGAGGGTGTTGCGGTTCTACAACAGTACAGCAGTAGCCGGAACAGACGCCAAGCTTCGGACACGTAACGCCAGTTAGATTGCCGAACACAACGTTACATTTAGCAGCCCTCCGACATGGCACTGTGCTCCGCTTGTTCCGCGCGGGTCACCGGAGGCCCCCTGCAGCATATATATATATATGCATACAACAAAAAAAATGCGGCATCGACAGGGCCCGTGAGCAGAATAGTGAAACGTTAATCCCGAGATGGATTGGGTGAGTGCAACGGGTTAGGAGGGGTGGGTCTCTTGCTTCTGTTTAGGAGAGGTGGGGGAGGGCGGTAATTACAGCAGGATAAGGAGTAGGTGCGAGATACACCAAAACACACACGGTGTTCAGCAGCAGTAGTAGTAGAGCAGCAGCAGCAAGCAGCAGCAGCAAGCGACAGCGATGACAACGAACACGAGGTGTTCGTTCGTGGGAGGGACAAACGAGAAAAAACATGAAATCACACTGGAGGACCAACTTAACTACAAGTAAGGACACACCGGCATGATACCGGCCATGAAAATGAAAATTCAACATGTAGTGTGTAGTATGCATGAAAGGGATTCTGAGAGAGCACAGCCATGCCATCAAGGGGAGATTTTTTTTTTTTTATTTTGTCTTCACTTCAAATCCGCGCTCACGGCACTAGTGTCGTTTACTCCAACCCGCGGCCACACAGAAGAAGAGCCCTTCTCTACCCTCCCCTCCTGCGGTACTTTGCCTTCGATTTTTAATGCGAGAAGAGTTCAGCACTCTCTTCCCTCTGTGTACACACGAACTAGCGCTGTCCACTAAAGGCCAGGAGCGGAAGCGAGAGAAAAACTCACTTTGCAAAATAAGCTCGCTTTTACGCCGGGATTCGAACCCCTGACCTGACCTCTAGAAGGTTTCGAGGATACCAACTAGACCACCGGGGCGACCGGCTATGGACAGGCTTCAAGGCTGTCGGCGGCTTCAGCCGCCCCGCATATTGAAGCGGTTTCAAAACGCAGTTGTTATTACAGCTCTACAACGAAGCGACCACCCAGCCAGTTGTCAGACGTTTTCCACGTGGGCATGGTGTATGTATGCGATGCGAGATGAAAAAAAGCAGGGAGCAGGACCGGGCCACAGCCCACAGGTGGCTGCCAGCTGCCAATTGTGACGCCCGAGGCAGCTCAAACGTGCTTTAACTCGATGAGCCCAGCGAACCTCAACGAACGGCAGGCAAACAAAGAAGAAAACAACACAGCTATCTATGCATATGAAACGGCCAGAGAACGGGGAAAGGGAAAGAAAATCGAGTCACTGGAGCTGGCGAGAGAAAAACAGCCCGCGGGTCATTTCTAAACTCTGCGTTCCAGATAAAATGCAGCAAATCGAGCAACAGCAGTCAGTTTCTCTGTTCACGTAGGAAGGGCGAGGCCTGCATGTCGGCCGTAAATAAATATGTCGATATGTCGTCTGCCGAACATTGGAAACTGCTTTTGACTTCAAGTTGAAGCGTAAAACAAATCAACAAAGATACAATTTTCCTGGGTGCGTGCAAGCGGCAGAAAGAAAGGCGGAAAAAAAAAAAAAACGAACACAGGTCTGCAGTCGGCGCGTCGGCGCCCACTGGTGCTTTGAACGGAGAAAGAAAGGCTGCCAGGCCCACAAGACGGTCTCTCTTCGTAATTTGTCTCTGTCTCTGTCTCTCTCTCTCTCTGCCGAGGTCTGTTGGTCTGGAGGGTTGACCGGCAACAAAACAAAGTAACATCAACAACAGCTGTCGGGCATTTTCGACTGGTCGTTCGTGCAGAAAGAAGCAGGATCCCCCAGTAGCCCAAGATCCCCCAGTAATACAATTTTTCACCGGGCACCCGGCCCCATTGTGTATATAGATATGCATACATGAAACAAGTACTGCAGTGACACACGCCAGGTGAAATGTACTAATGTTGCAAAAACAGAGCAAACAAACGCGGCACCGAAAATGGCAGAGGGCACCATACGCAAAAAACGCAGCAGGCTAGACAAAACTTCTGAAAACTTCCTCTCGGCAATGCAGACAATTTTGGCTTGGTTCTTGCTGTGAGGCATCACGACCGGGGGCAGGCAGCGCGGGGATTTAGATACACAAATGTATATTCGCTTATTATTCTTGCGCTGCCTCCCTGTCTGTCAGACGCAACCAAAAACACGAGAGACTTGCACGCACGCGCACCACCTTGCTTGGCAACAAAAACAAAGCAGGGAACCAAACCACCAATCAATTCTGCATGCAGCATTTTGTTGAGCAAGAAGAGGAAGGAGTCTGGACCAACCAACTGCTGCTGCTGCTGCTGCTGCTGCTGCTGCTGCTGCTGCTGCTGCTTGACGAAGGGAAGGAACTGACGAACCTGGCCAAGTTCGCGTGCCGTAGATCGCATGAGGAACCCACTCGCCCGCTAGAAACCACACCCTTCAATTGTAAGAAAACACACTTACGTGATACACATGTTTGTTTGTCAAATCCATTTGACGTTGGCCGATTTAGTGTAGCCCCCGGCCACAGTAGTAGTAGTAATAGATACCGCGCCCAAGCTACGTTGCGCCGCAATTATTGCACCCCAGAATCACCATCATCATGGATACATACCACCAGCATCATGAATGCCACCAACAGCATGGAGGAGAAAACCACCGACGGCAGTGCACTGAGAGAGGTGGTCTCACACTGAGGTGGTGTCACACAGCCTCCCAAACACCCCCGGCTCTCGTGCAGCGGCTCCTCCTCCAGGCTTCATCACGGGTAATTTTCCAGCCGATATATAAACAACACTCACTCGCTTGTCAGCAAGCAAGTTTAAGTTTTACTGCTGAGGCCCGCGCAGCATCCACCGCGGCTGCAGCAGCGGCACGTGCTCGAGAGAACACCACATCAGCCAGCAACTGTTTGAAGGGACACCATACACGCACCCTTTTTCTACCAGCAACAAGCAACAGCTGCCTTGGGGAGTAAATACGGTATCACCCCCCTTGCTATCTATCTAAACTACTAGTCTATGCATGTCACACCCCGTGTTATCGCCCCGCCAATCAATGCTGCCAGCAACATATATATTCTTGGAAAGGAGTGGTCGCACACCCCACTGCCATCACACCCTGATGTTGGTATCACACACCCTAGTTGCCGAGCGCGAGCATGGCGCAGTTTATCGCCCGGGTCACACTAGAAATCACACGGCGGTGACAATTCTCCAACAAGCTTTGTGTTGTTTAAATCCCGAAAGCAAGGTTGGTACCGTGCCGATTGCACCAAATCCGAAAACACATTCAGAGGTGGAGTTATGAGAGGAAATACAAAAAAAATACGCTTGCTTCTGATTCGGC